GCTATGAATGTGGGAGTGCAATATCTTTTTGAGACCCTGCTTTCAATTCTTTGGGGTATGTACCTAGAAGTGTAATTCCTGGATCATGGGGTAGTTCTAGCTTTAGTTTTTGGAGGAACCTCTGTATTGTTCTCTATAGTCGCTGCACCATTTCACATTCCCACCAACAGCGGCCAAGGGCTCCAGTTTCTCCACCTCTTTGCCACCACTTGCTATTTCCTGTGTTTTTGGATAGTAGCCGTCCTGATGGGTGTGCAGTGGCATCTCATTGTACCACTGACTTGCATTTCCCTAAGATTAGGGATGTTGACTATGTCTTCACGTGCTGCTTTCTTCCCGTCTGTGTTTGATTTTGGATGGTTTCTTTTTAATTTTTCCCAGAGGTCACAGATGTGGCTATTTTTTCCCAAGTCTTTTTTTCCCTCCGTGTTTTATTTTGGTCAGTTTCTATTGCTGTCTTCAAGTTCACCAATCTTCTCTTCCGCAGTGTCTAATCTGCTGTTAATCCCATCTAATGGATTTTTAGTCCTAGATATTATAGTTTCACATGCAGAAGTTTGATTTGAACTTATGGTTACCAGGTGGGGAAGGGGAAGGGGAGGGATAAATAGGGAGTTTGGGAATTGCAGATACTAACTATTATATATAAAATAGATAAACAACAATGTCCTACTGTAGAGCACAGGGAACTATATTCAATAGCTTGTAATAACCTATAATGAAAAAGAATATGAAAAAGTATATATATATATATATATATATATATATATATATACACAAAACAGAATCACTATGTTGTACCGAAGAAACTCTTAAAACATTGTAAATCGACTATACTTCAATTAAAAAATACCCAGAAGTTTGATTTAGGTCTTTAAAAAAGTACCTTTCATGTTTCCACTTAGCCTGTATAATCTTTCCTCTAGCTTAAAAAAAATGGAACAAAGTTCTAGTTACTGTCTGAATGAGCTTGCCTGCTCACGCTAATGTCTCTTTCAGTTCCACTTTGGTTTTGATTGGCTGCCCCTTGCTCGTGAGTCATACGTTCTTGCTTGTTTGCATGGCTGGTAAGTCTTGCCTGGGCTGTGGGCTCTGTCTTGCTGGCTGTTGGATATTTTTGCATTCCTGCAGACGTTCTCGAGCTTGGTTCAGGGAGGCAGCTGACGGCTTGGGTACACTTCGACCCCTTTGGGTCTTCCTTTCAAGGTGTGTCAGGCAGGATTAGAGCAGCTTGAGGTCTTGGGGTAGCTGCTCCCCCTGCTGAGGCAAGGCCCCTCCGCGCCCTCCGCCCCGTGCCCGTGAGGAAAGGCATTAGAGGTGCTTCAGGCTGGCGGAGGGGGGAACGGGCGTTACTCTCGACCCTGTGTGAGTGGGGTGAGAGGAGCGCTGCCCCTCCCGTCTCTTCCGGGACTTGAGCACTTTCCTCTCCCACGTTGGGTGGCCAGCGCTCTCCGGAAATAAAGGGCACTCATGCGGTCCTTCCGGAGCCTGCGGGTCCCCAGGCTTCCTCTCTGTGCTGCCCCCTGGGAGCTGCATGGCCTGGGTCTCCCTGGACCCCTGCTCCATCTCCAGATCAGCGTGTCTGGTCCCCACCCGGCTCCTCCTCCCCGCCCCACGCCTGGAACTTCCTCAAGACAGCAAGCTGGGGCCGGCGTGGGCGCAGCCCGTTTGTTCCTCAAGCCTCAGGGGCTAGTACCCTTCATGGCCTCACATCCAGTGTCTCGACAACTGTCATCTCATATATTTCCCCCCACTTTTCAGTTGTTTCAGGCCTGAGGGTAAATTCAGTCCCTAACCTTCCATCTTGGCCAGCAGTGGAATCCTAGCCGGAGCTTATTTAATACAGGGATCCCTTCACTAAAGTGTCTGAAGGGCTTAAAGGGGCAAAATGGGAAAGGTCTGTGCTGCAGGAAGCAAGGCTTGAAGGAGCAGAGGGAGGAGGTGGCGCGGCAGGAGCCCAGCAGCGCGTGCAGCTGGCACTGGAGGACACGTCAGTGCTGCTGGGATGGCGGCAGATTTGGGGAGGCTGTACCGGCAGCCGGCTGCTGCTCTTTTTACTGGGGCTGCTGGAGCCCAGAACCACCCCTTGCTGATGGAGATGCCACTAGAAGCAGATAGAAAGGAAGGACTGAGGCTGCTCTTTTTTTAAATCTGCCTTCCAAATTCTTTCTGGGACTTCCCATCGGCCACCTAGCCCGCAGCTGGGGCATCTGGGAAGTGTAGTCTGCGAAGCTCCAGCCCCTAGCGGTGGAGGACAGGGCACGGAAGGGCAGGGAGGCACCTGCTTTGCAACACCGTAGGGAAGTGGGCTCTGCCCTGCACGCCTTCAGAGGAGGAGTCGGGACAGCAGGGGCTGGTGTCGGAGATCTCTGCAGCTCTCTCCTCTGGCTCCTGACTTGGCCAGAAAGCACCGTCTTCCGGGAACATCCCCTTGGGGGCCCATGTTTTTGGACAAGACTTCAGGGACGCTGGCAGCTAACTGCAGTCATTCTCTGGAGATGAGTCAGGGAGCAGCCGAGTCAGCACAGAGAACTGGTGCTGCTCTGCCTGAGATACTTGTTTACCTCCTGGAGGGAAAAAGTGTTCTGTCTCTTTGGAGCCGCCCACTGGACATTTCATGTAAGAGGAATCGTACGACACGGGACCTTTCTCGTCCCGCTTCTTTCACTCAGCGCAGTGTCTGTGAGGCTCGTTACACTGCAGCCTTCACCAGGACTGACTGCTTTCTTCTGGCTGAGTCAGACTGCTGTCGGTTGCAGTGTGTGGAGAGACCACAAGTTGCTTATCCATTCATCCACTGGTGGATATTTGGATCGTTCCCATCTCTTGACTCTCTGGCTATCAGGCTGCTATAAATGGCCGTGTGTAAGTTTCTGTGTGGACATAGGCCTTCATCTTTCTTGGGTGACATACCCGGGAGGGAAAGTGCTGGCATTGCTGGGTTTAACTCTTTGAGGAATCACCAGCCTGTGTCCCGCAGTGGCTGCACCACTTCACGTTCCCACCAGCCGCGTGTGAGGGTTCCTGTTTCTCCAAATGCCTGTCGAGAGGTGCTGTTTCTCCTTCTCCCCCTAAAGTCTTCTCAGTGGGTCTGAAGTGCTATCTCACTGTGGTTTTGGTTTGCATTTCTGAAATGACCCGTGATACTTGTGAGCCATCTGTCAAGACCACTTTTTAAAAATATAGTCAGTTTACAATGTTGCGTCAGTTTCTGGTGCACAGCACGGTGCTCCAGGCACACGTGTACATACACATATTTGTTTTCATATTATTTTTCATTCTAGGTTACTACAAAATATGGAGTATAGCTCCCTGTGCTGTACAGAGGGAAGTGTATATCTATGTTATTTACAGTAGTTAGTAGCTGCAAATCTCAAACCCCCAATTTATCCCTTCCCACCTCCTTCCCCGCCGGTAACCATGTTTGTTCTCTATGTCTGTGAGTCTGTGTTTCTGTTTTGTAAACAAGCTCATTTGAATCTTTTTTTACCCCTAGATTCCAGATATAATTGTTATCCTATGGTATTTTTCTTTCTGTTTCTGGCTTAACTTCAAGACCTCTTTATATTATTAAAAAGTATTGAGACACTCCAAAACCTTTTGTTTACGTACTTACATTTAGTGATATTTGCCATCCTTAGACATTAAAACCAAGCAATTAAAAAATATGTATTAATTATTTTATAAACAACAGTAACAAACTCATTATATGTTAACACCAGAGTGATGACAGCATCACATATGTAGCTTCTGGCACCGCTCCCCACCCCGTACACTGGTAAGAGAAGGATCATGAAAAAAAGTAAATAGCATTGTAATTACAATGGGGGGTTAGGGCGCCGCCCCTCCCTGCAGTAAAAAGTCCACGTGTAAGTTATAGTTGGCCCTCTGTATCCCCGGTGTCTACGTATCGATGGTTCCTCTGTATCTGCAGTTCTGCCTCTGTGGATTCAACCAACCACGGATCGTGTAGTACTAGAGGATTGACTATTGAAAAAAAAAATCCACATATAGGTGGACCCTCGCAGTTCAAACCTGTGTTGTCCAAGGCTCAACTGTATTATGAAAAAAATTTGGCTCCCATAGACCACCCCCTTCCCCAAAATGAGTAATGATAATTCAGCTTTACTCAAGTAAGACAGATAAGATTAAAATTTTTTTTCTAATCTGAGATTTCTCTCAATGTTAGTTTACCCAGAAAACATATATACTTGGGGGAATGCCGGCAGTGGAATCTGATTGTACTTGGTTCAAGGTCACAGAAAGGACAGAAAAGAGTTCTTTAATCTGGAATATGGACCTGCTGACATTTGCCCCCCCCCTTTTTTTTAAGTTACGCTTTCCTGCTTTCCTGCCCTTTCAGAAATGAAAACTGGCTGCTGGTTAAAAATTTTCCTTAACCTCATTATCAGGTGATTTTGTTCACCCAGGACATCTGAGTCAACTGATTGGAGAACTAAGATCTCACACAAGAGTCTGAACAAGAACCTTCGCTGACATCGCAGCACCTGACGCTGATTTTTCCAGTAGGAGAGGAGGGCGGGTG